GGAAAACGAGGCTGTTCGTATCTCGATTTTCTCCATTTTCTCGATTCTCTCGATTTTCTCCAACTCTCGCTGAAGTCGCGCCGAAGAGCAAAGCAAGGGTTCAAGCGAAGACACGGTTCCGGTCGGAATTTTTTCTCCTTGGCTGACGACCGACGACGTCTCTTCCAGGTCGGAATCGGAGCACGCCTTCTTGCATCCGGGCGCGGTAGCGAATGGTTAATCGCGAGAGGTTTCAGGTTCGAGAGGCGCGGCGCAAAGGAGCTGATGGAGAACGGAAAGGGAGGAACGAAGAAAGGGAAACAAACGAACTTACGCGGAACGGGGCGAATCGCTTTGACAAAAGGCTCGTTCTCGCGATCCATTACGGTATTCGGACTTCTGACTAATCTCTTTTCTCTGGTATTGCCTCGAGTCCGGGGTCCTTTGTGACTTCCAGCTCATTGTTACCAAGATATTGGAACTTTCTGCCTCTCTCGTAACACCGTTAAGCAATTAAATCGAAAGTTTTACCGCCGTGCCATTAAAAAACACAATTAAACCGGATCTGTCCGTGGCCACGTCATTTTCAATTTTCGCCCCTTTACTGCGCTCCGTTTCAGTATTCGGCCATGTTACAGGCCGAGCTGCCGGGTTAAATCTTTTATGATACTGCCTGGCACGAAGGGATCGGCGGGACCATTTGCTCGCGTCGCAAGCGACATCTTTAACTTTCCGAATGGGATATCGTCCCTGGGATTCAACGACTATTGGAAAGGATAATCGCGAGCTACGAGTTCTCGTGAGATAGACGCACGGTCGCAGGGATAAGGGCCGAAGGGTCGTGAAGGGGATAGCATGGGGGCAAGGGTAGAAAAAGGCAGGGAGATTTCGAGAGCGAAGAACAACAAAGTTTCCTTAATGAAGAATAACGTCCCCGGCAAAGGAAAGATATTTCCGCTTAATCGGAGATTCTCCTTTGCCTCCTGTCCACCGGAATTGCTGCCCATTTCTCCTCTAATCTCTCCTTGTACCTCCCGAATCGTTACCCTCCGGCCTGCTCTCTCTCCGTTGACTATTGACAGTGGCCGTTCGAAAAGAGTATTACCTACCATACCCTTCGATCCAATCTCGCGTTTTAATGAAACTGCTCGAAACGAAATGAATTTCGGCCATAACGATTCCCAGCGCGCCCCCTCCGCGTGGTCAAACGTCTCCGTGCCTCTGTAGGGTCGCGTAGGAAAAGCGGAGAAGTTGGAGAACGACGGCTCTCGGGATGAAAGTCGCGTGGGTGTTGGAGCGTAACTCGTTGCGCGAAAAATTGCGACCAACGAAAGTTCTTCGTAGCAATTCTCTCCTCTGTTCATTCAAAATGTCACTACCCACCTACCATCTTTGTCCGTTTCTTTTCACCGGCAGAGATGTATAAAGCGCGAAGGTTCTCGACGAACGTGGTCTATTCAACGGCCAGAGTCTTCCTCTATCGATCGCGACCCAGCACGCGACACGTTTAATTTTCTTAACGATCGGCCAACCTTCGACCGCGCGCACAAACGTAGATGCAGATTCACAGCGAAGCGTGGCTTCGTATGACGTCGTCAAACAGGCTTTCCGGACACGGCCGATGGCGTAAGATCGCGTGATTCCGCCCGGGCATCCTCACGCGATGCCCATTTCCTCCTATCGACCTTCCATCTCTTCGCCCGGACGAAATCTTTCGATCTTCTCTGCGGGATGTAGGTCGTCTAGGTGGCTCTGCACCTAACCATGGCTATCCAATTCAGGTAAACGGCGCCCAATTGTCTCGAGCCGGAATGAACGTAGGCGCGGAAACGTGTAAGCCTCGATGATTGCCGGGGTTGGATCACTGCCACCAGCGATTATCGAAGAACGTGAATGGCCGACGCGTGAGATGCCTGCGAATCCAACGGCGTCGCTTCATCCAACGACTGCGTAATTCCGTCGTCCGTTTCCGAATCACTGTTCCTGGTCATCGTCGGGAATCCTTCTCTTCCTTTTCCCACCGACAACTCACGTCTACTCTAACGTTATCGTTAAGGCCTGTCCGTTTGGCCTTATCTGTCCTTATGAAACGATAACGGGATAATTCGGGACGGCCGTTCGCGCGGGAACGCGAACGGGATCACAATGGGTTCGATAAAGCTACGAAATTTTGCAATCATCCGGATAGGTACTCGGGACGCTCGTGACTATTCCGGATCGCTGGAGATTTGCCTGAAATTTTGCTGGATCGTGACAGCGCGCGAGTCGGACAGATGGACGCGTGGTGATATCCGCGCAGAGCACCGTGTGGTTAATAACGTAATTAAACGTTGATCGATTCGCGTCAGGTATCTCCGAGCCAGCGAACTAATGGACAAAGAAGATGATGATCCGGGCGACAAATCTCACCGCTGTAATTAGGTTAGGAGTAGCTGTCCCCCGTTCGAATGAAACATTAACGAGGCTGCATCTGGCCAATGGTTCAATCAAGCGTGATTGTTCGAAATTGTGAGTAGTCGAGGGCCGGCACACGTTGGCACATAACGCGGATCGATATACGTGTTTCGAGGTCGACCACCACCGGTGTGGATAGAGATACCATTGCCGGTATCGCGAGTGCGGCACGCGTGCAGGGCCACCCTCGCCTCGCGCGCCACCCTTCTTTGCCAAGGGTGCACGCGGCTCCCGATGCGAGAGCACGACATAGGCACAGATTATCGGTGCACACGGCGCAGAATTAATCCCGGAGGCATGCCGGTACGTAAAACTTTTGGAGATGAAAATGCTCTCGATTGATTGCTCGCTTGGTTCGCGTTCACGTGGGAAAATTCCGACCACGTCACGTGAATAAACCGGACACGCTCGTTGGCATATTTATTAAACGCGAGCAGAGAAAATGCCGGGTTAAGTAATCCTGCAGCGAAGCACCGGCTGCCGCGCGGTACAGCTGCGGGAACGGTATTTAAAACGATTGGTTGGATCATCCAGATCGACGTTCCGTCGGATGCGTTTGCTAAACTGTACCTTGCGTTTCTTTTCATCGAGGACCAGGTATCGGCGGTGTAATTGGGCACGGTGTATTAGTCAAAGTTAGCGGCTGTCGTCGATTCTATGCCGGATAATCGTGAATAGCCGTATATAGTGGTCCTTCCACGTCGGTCACGAGAGAGGTCAACGCTGACACGCGGGGTTCTCAAAAGTCCTCTCGACTAACCGCTCCGTCTATACAGAGATAATCCTTTGACGCGGCCTTCGCCGTTCCCTCGTCTAAAGCACGGGCCTGTTAGGAGGCTTTACCGGCGACTCCGTTGACAGGTCTCTCGGACAAAACGCGTCCTCGTCTTCGTCTTACCTCGCGATCCCTTCTTTTCTCTCTTCCCTCCTTTCGTCGCGATACCATAGCCGTGACGTTATTCACGTTTATAGTCGGTCTATGACGAACCTCGCGTGTAGTCCACCGCGTAGTCTCCGCAGTTTAATCTCTGTCGAGCACGTCGTCCTCGCGTTCTAGGCCGAGCCCCTTCAGCTACCCAATATGCTCTCGCCTCGGATCCGCTCTTGAAACTCGCCTACGAGTTTTATATTTCGCATGCGAGATTCTTTAATTATCCTACGCGTCGCTTATACCGTGGTACACCACCTAGCCGAGGAGCGGAATAAGCGCGAGGCAAACGCGAAACCGCCGCGGCTTCACGGTGCTTGGAATTCGCGTTGCTCGCGGTCTGAGTGTGCCGGCCACGAGTGCACGCGCGTATTTCGTACGCAATTTAATCGAAAAAGGCAAAACGAACGCGACCGGCTACTAATTTCGCCGTATAAAACCAAGCATACCCCCGGCCGGTGCTTGGCCGGGCGCCAGCGGCCAGGTAAATACGACCTGTTCACGAAGATAACGTCGGCCCGTTTCTCCGGAGAGAGAGAGGCGAATCGCAAATGAATCCGGCCGGCCGTCCTTACTTCGGCAGCCGACTAGCCGGATTATCGGGACACGTTCATCGACAAACACGCTCCGCGACGGCTACACGCGCGATCGGGCCGAGATCGCGACACCGCTTGGCGTTTCGGCGATCCGTCTTTCGGCCGATCGATTCTTTCGCGTGAGACCGAGCGACCGTTTCGAGGGGAGCGCGCAATCGAATCGGCGGATTAATTAATTTCGCCCCGATAACCCGGTGATTCGGTTGCTCTCGTTACCGGGTGGGGCGAAGAGCGTGGATTTGGATGGATCGCGAGGAAAAGGTGGCGAATATCTAATTTCATGGTCGTCGATATAATCGAATCGCGATAAATTCCACGCGAACGAGCCGGGGAGGAAAATATGGTTGCGGGCAGGCACGGTGCTCGGTGTTCCCTTCGAACTGTATTCGTCCGATCCCGCGTTGTACGGTGTTCTATTAGCGACGTTGACTAATCAACTTGCGTCGGTTTCATTTTAACCGGGGAAAAATAAAGAGGGAGAAACGGGTGAGCGATTGGGGCGGTGAACGGAGGCGTTCGGGGTTTGGGTAGAGGAAGCCTTAGCCTGAAAGCAACGGGTCGAGTCTTCGATAATAGGACACAGGTTAACGCGACGTACACGGGAACGCTTTTCCCTCTTTCGGCGAGCTCGTCGGAACTGCAATATGCGATTCGGCCGGCGGCGGGGATATTGCGAAATAAAAAGGGTTAAATTAAAAATTCTCGGTCGAGTGCTCCGTCCTTCGGCCGAAGAGACTCCGAGAATATGCCTGCGGAATTTGAACGTGAAAGCACGAGGAGAGTTTTCACCCCCTTCCTACATCCCGTCCTCGCCCAGCTTTATCCTCCTCGTTCCTCTGGTAACCCGAAGGCTTCGACTTTTATAGCAAGCCGGGTATAAAAGACGGGCCTTTGTGCCTCCGTAAGCCGTCCTTATCGATATTTTTCGATAAGAAAAATGAAGGACCGACCTGGTCGCGGCCCCGCTGCCCGACTATACGACTCTGCGCGACTCCACTCGATTCGACTGCGAACTTACGGAATCGTTTCCCTTTGTGTTCCAGAACGACACGATGCAAGTGGTTTGGCAATATCACGTGGAAGAACCAGTGTCCGCAGCCGGAGTTCTGCCGGATCACGACGCCGTCCGTGGATCCAGACCGCTTTATCTGGTGCAAAGGGATGCCCAGCCGAGGCCAAGCTCGCGCAACGAGGAAGCCGGGTCACCGCTTCAAACGTGGGACATATTGAACCAGCAGGTTGGTATCGAATCGTTTATCCACGTCCCTTGCTGGCTCCCTAGACGATCGATTACCACCGCGACGATGCATTTTATCCTTACGCCACGTCGCGGCGCGTTTCACCAACAACCGCGTTCGACGGGCCGATGATGTGCGAAACCGACGCGCGGAATCGCGTGGGCGGAAAATTATGGTGTAATACGAGCCATTGCGTGGCGGATATACCATAATATGATTATACCGGCGCGGAGGGGGAGGATACGCCGCGATGCAACGCGTCTTATGTATGCATAATGATAGAGAGGGCAGGCGTAGGTGGTAATAATGTAATGGATAGGTGTTCGCCGGATTTTGGTTGTTAGCAGCGGGATTAAAGGTAGGGTTCCAGGTGAAAACGAACGAACCGAACTCTCGCCCCGTGCACTGTCAAAAGTTTCGTATTCAGCCCGGTTCTCTACACGCGTGTACTTTACACGTCAACTCCGACCGGTTCGGCAAGGTTCTACGACCAAGTTTTACGACCCTGTCTCTCCGCGAGCTTTTTGATCCAATTATTCAGGCAACGGTTGACGCGATTCGACGCGTTATATCGTGCCGTAACGCGTGACAGGAGGGGACGGGCTTATAATATTCGTGGGGCCACGAAGGAGTTGCGTCGGTTCGGGGGAAAGGCGATTAAAGAGTTTTAATTACGGGCCCGGAACGCAGTGTCAACGATACCATATTAAACTCCATCTCCGTGGAAGCTACTTTTCCGAAAGCTCTGCTCGCTCTCCTCCTCGTGCTAGTCACCGAGTTTACACTTGGCGGGGTGTCGTGTCGGACGACAAATGAATCAAGGATATCCCGATTCCTCGGTGGATAGGAACCGAGCGCTCTCGCGCGGCTCCATCGAACTTCGATAATGTCTTTGAAGTTATTAGACACATTCGTCGTAGTCGTGGTTATCAAAATTTAATTGTAATTGAACGCGGGTGGAAAGTTTTCGTGGAAATTGCACGGAAAGATGGCGCAGCCGTCTCCTCGTCGGAACACCAATGGCAGGAACTAATGTCCGCGTGGATCATCGCGCGGGACGATAGCTGCAATCGTAAAGAGGAAAGTTTAATTTTACGTCGACGTCGTTGCCCCCTGCGCGGTGCTATATCGAGTTGCGCTCCACCATTTCGATCGAACCATTTGGTATACCTTTGCACGATGATTTAATTTGGAAGAATATAGAAACGGAGGGAAGTTACGACTACCGTGCCCCGAGTATCGAAACGGGAGATTCTTAGACCTCGGAGGATTTAAATTTCTTTTTCGACGGTATAATACACCTATATCGGGCTTTCATCGTATAACCGCTAATTCGGTACAGCCGTTCGCAATCTGTTGGCGCTGAGGGGGCCATTATTCGTTCCCGTTGGCCGCTCGAAGGCGGTCTCTGCAGGTTTTGTTGTTCGGAGCCGCGATACTCTCGCGGTCGATTCAGTCACGCTTCTGTTTCGCGAGCGTTCGCGTCGTCGTTCGAAACGGAGAGTGAACGATCGGCCGATGGAAAGAGAATGAAAGCTCGTGGAGGAGAGGAAGAGAGAGTGAGAGGGGGGACAGCGAGGGGGGCACGGAGCGAAGCGTGGGTGGCTCGGTTGCGCGTGAGATGAATGTTCGAACGCGTTTAACGTTCAGCCTGGTACGAGTGGATTTTTATCGGATGCAAGCCGCGGAGCATTGTGCGCCGAATTTATGACGGCATAAATCTTAACCGGGTCACATCCGGCAAAAACTATTCGTTCATTAGCGTCGCCGGGTCATAGATTACGGGTCGACGCTATCGCCCGGCATCGGACAATGCTAATTCCACGGGCTGCCGAGCTTTTGCTTATAGTTTATACCGACAGCGAGAAGGAAGGGATGGTTTAGAGCGGATTTACGTGACTGCTATCTCCGCGTCGACGACCAACAGATCGATCATTCGCGCGAATAATGAAGATGAAAAATACTCGAGTAGTCCGCCGTTCGTGCCAGAATCCGGCAACCCGGGCTGTAGTCTGATCGCGAGAGGAAGTACGGCTAGTTGGACGCGAATGGAGTCGCCAGCGTGTCGCGATCGACGAGCGAAGGGTGCAGAAGCGCGCGGGGTTGTATCGGAGAACGACGACGAGATTATCACCCCCCCTCCCCTCCCCTCCTCCGGTGTCTTTTGACCGAAAAATCGCAGTGTTTCGGAAAATTCCTGCGATAGCTGTACCGCGTGAAATATTCAACGTTTATGCGTATCCGATTCTTTCGATATTTTTGCGCGATTCAATCGAGCGACGCGTGTGTCAACGAATCGGGTAATGGAAACGTACGAGGAGGGTGGGCATTATCAGCCGAAGCCGGGGACGAAATAATAAATTGGAATTACCAGAGTGGGCAAGGGTTGAACCCGAACAGCGCTAATTTCATCGGCTCTGTTTACAATTTCGTATCGAATGAAATCGCGAACCCGGGGTGTTTCGATGCTCATCACGCTGTAACAAATTATCGCGTCTCTCAGCTGGAAAGGAATTACCCGTTCGCCCAGCAAATGAAACGATTCTCCTCTCTGTTCCTCCCCCTGCGCGTATCGATGTCCCTCTCCGATATGAAATTGTTTGCGCTTTTGGCGCAATTTCTTCTCGTCCCACTGTAACCGGGGAATACGACGCGTGCATAGTTACGAGCCCGTACGATTACGCGTTTCTCTCGACCATAAAAATTTATAACGAAAGTGACAAGTCGAATTTCAGGCTTTATCGAGTCGCGACGAGCTAACGCTGCAAATGGCCGTGCCATAGACCACCGGGCGCCGACTTATACGCCGATTTATCGTACGCCCGTTCCCTATTTATGGACTACGAATTCTCCGTGCAATTCAACGCGCGAGCTTTCTTAGCTTTCTCGCTAAATTTCTAAGCTTCATCCACTCGGTCGAGCGGCGCGCTATCGCGTCGAATCGTTATAAATCGCGATACCGTAATCTCCGTGGCGCCTACTTTTCGGATATCCGCTCGCAACTTATAGCGACTCCACTCGCGAGAATGTAGTTTACTCTTCCACGGTACATACCTCCTCCGCCATCTTTCCCTCTCGTTATTTCGGCTTCATAACTTCTCCGCGGTAATACGTCTGCTCCCTAAACTTCTTAATTCCAACGATGCCTGATTACCCGACACGCGTTCCCGCATCGCGAAAACTTTCGTAACGCGATCGCGAAGCGCTGCGGTTTTAATTGTCTCGACGAGAGAGCCGTGCCAGCCTCTCTCTCGCTCGCACCTCTGGTTCCAGACGGCTGGATAGCGACGACATTAAAGTTACCAGAGCGACGCTTATCTTACGACCACCGCCTCGTCTCCCTTACTTCTTTCTTACGCGAATGCTACTTGTTCTTCGCTAACTACGTACGCGGAAGTTCGTCGCCAGTCGAATAACTTTTGTATCGCGGCGAGATGAATATGAATGTCTGCCAGCACAAAGAGAGCTTTAGAGAGAGAGAGAGAGAGAGAGAGAGAGAGAGAGGGGGGGGGAGGAGGCCAGCTTGTTAGGAAACGGGTTTGCATTCATTCGACGCCACCAACCCCGTTTCCTCAGCCGACAGCGATACTTTTTTCGCGGCCCATTCTCGCGACGAATCGAAAGGGAAACTTCGCCGACGAGAGAGCGCCGAATTCGCCCAGGGCGGATGCCATTTCGCGCCTCATCGTCGCCCTTGTCGCCTCGTGAATTTATATACCCGGCTCGTCCTTTTTTTTCTCTCTCTCCAAGGATCGTTTGCATACCGTTATCACGACGCATAGATTACTCGGGATTTTGCGCCACCCCACCGTGGACAGCCGCGCGCGTCGAATGAATCCTTCGTCTCGTCCACGTCCGGCGAGGATATCGCCGCGGCTTACGCTCGCAAGAAACACCGCGGTTTCCACGATCCGCCGGGTTCATTAGGGATCTTCGTCATCGATCATAGTCTCGGTTAACGTGCCGCGTGAAAGGATGTGCCATCGTTCTTCGTTCCCGATATGTAGCCGTTCGTAGAGGTCTGCTTTAGCTCCCACCGAATCTCTGTTACATCTCCGGTCTCGAAACATCCGAGTTTCCTGTCTTTCTTTCTCGTTTTTCTACACCTTTCAACGGGCTTCTTTCACGCGCTCGCGTTCCTCTCTCTCTCTCTCTCTCTCTCTCTCTCTCTCTTTCGAGCCATCTTATCCGATTTCGAAGGGATCGCGACGCGTTATTAGTTTATTTATAGGGGCAACGGATCGGGTAAAAAGTTGGCGCCTTTCGCCGGAGAAACAGGAAGAGACCAGACGCGAAGGGCCCCTGTCGGCCGAGCAACGTAAAACGGCTTTTTACGTGGCCCGCCCTTCGAACCGAGATCCCCATTTGAACCCGTGGTACGCGAAACGCGGCATACCCGAGGGATAATTATCGTCTTCTCTCTTTCCAAGAATTCACGCAGCGGGGGAAAAAGCGGCGAAGGGTGAGACGCGTGGAGAATCGCACTCGCGGTGTCGTTTACTCGCGCGAGATTCTCGAGTCGGGCTTTCGTAGCCCTTTGTAAGCACGAGTCTTTGACACTTTGCGCGTTTACACGGACGATATTACGACGAATGAAAGTCATCCACGCGAAGGAGCACGATTTCCAGCCCGTTCTCGGAGTTTGACAGCGGTACCGTATTTCGGTGGAAGAAGTCGCATCTGTACTATCCCGGGCTGGGTAAATAATTATTTATAGATGCGCCGTATATAGCAGCTGTCAAGAGTACGAGTTAGGTCAGATCCCCGCGAATATCGATTTCTATTTTTCGCATCACTGCGAGCAAGCTCTCGAACAATCTGCAGCTTCTCGGATCGCTATGGCGTCTATCCTCGGTATGTCTCGCTATACGCGTATCACTGACAGACGTTCGCTCCTGTCTTCTATTCCTGAACTTCGTGGCGTTTCGCGTATTTCGGGAGATCCTTCCGCGCGAGGAATCACTCGCGTCAGCGTCTATTTCCGCGGTTTCCTATTTATCCGGATTACAGCCGCGTAAACGTAAAACTTTATGCCCGGTTCACGCGTGATAAAGCGATTCGATGAGCTCGCCTCTCGTTCGGGGGAACGTATCGACTGATGGTACCGCGCGCGCCGTGAACATCAGCTTTTTCGCGAGTCGGTGGAGGGAAGGTATCGTAGTGAGCGAGGAAACGTAGCCAGAAGCCCGAGCTTCGCTCGTAAACGCGGACGGCTCCCCGAGCCCGAATCTTCGACACGCCCGGGGGCCGTTCAGCATATTCGACCGCAAAACAATAAACGTGGTCGCCCTTCCCGGTAATCTTGACATCGATAATTTCGCAGGAGCGCGTGGGAGAATCCGGCGGCGCCGTGGCCGTGCTTAGGGCGCTCGAGAGCAGCCGCGAAAAAAGAATCGCAATTTTCTGCCGGGATCGCGCACACACCCCGCGGCTGCAACTCGAGCTCAACCTTCGTTTCCTTCTCTCGTCCTGCTGCCTTCTCCGCCTTTTCCCCGCGCCACCTTTTTCGGCGTGAACGCAGCCCCGATCCAGGCGAACGAGGATTTTTCTTCGATCGTTCCAGGCGCTCGTAATCACGGGAAAAGAGAGGAATCCCTCGGCTCTGACCTCTTCCACCTCCACCCGCGCCCCGCAACGTCGCAGGCGTTTAGGCGAAGATTAAATTTGCTCGATACGCCTTTGCGCGTTCCTTTGCGGACAAGAGACTTGCGCCGACCCTCGCAAATTCACGCTGGCTATCGGCCGTTTCCACGTTGACGTATGCCTCGAGCGGAATCCCTTTGAGACGGAGCTCGATCGTTGCGTCCACTTCGCGCCTTACGGATCTCTTTTTTCCAACGTTCTTCGCGATAGTCGATTCCTGCTCGAGTCGCATCCCCGGGGGGTGATTTCGAGTTTAACGTTGATTATCGACGACGGGACGAATATTTCGCGTTCATTCGCCTTTCCGGTGAATACTGGGTAATATTCGAAAACTGTTACCTCCGTTTAAAATCGTCAAAAATAGCCGCCGTTTCGCTCGTTTTGTTTCTCTTGTATCATCCTTCGATTTTTATTCGACTCACTTCGCAACCGCACCCTCCTTGCGCGGAACCTTGGAACGTTTCGCAAACTCGATGACAATTTCCAGGCGATCGTTGCGTAACGCAAAGAATTACCCTCGTTTAATCACACGCGTTCGTATTATTTCGCAGGTTCACTTACCCACGGAACACGACACGCTGCATTGGTGCCGCATTCTGAGGATGCCAAACATTGATCGCAAACACCACGTCGTGAAGGTAAGTTCCTCGTAGCTATAACCTACTTACTTGCTACCCCTCGTGCCGCGTCATACGCATCTAGCCCATCTAAACTTGATTAAACCGGCAGCCGTACGAACCAGGTCCCCGTCGACGCGGAAGCTGTCAAAGTATCAGAGATCTCGGTACGTCGATCAGAGATCCTCGCGAGTTTCTTCTTCCAGGCACGGGTACCATTTCGTTTCCTCGTGGACCTTCATCGTCGCGAATGGCCGTCGAGGTCGTATACGTCTCTTTTAGCGACTCGGTCTTTACGACTCGAATCCTCTTCTGTTTCACCGCTCTGTCGCGTTACCTTCGCGCGTGTGCATCGAGGTATTTCGTTTTTCGTGTTGTTTTTTTCACCTCTCGTCTTTTCCGCGAAATCATTCGTCGAATTTGATCTCCATTTCCGGCAGCGATATACGCGAAATCGCTTCGCGGTTTCGGTGTACCTATTCCTGAACGACTGGGATCGACTAGGACGCGTGTCAGTCGATCTGTAAAATCGATAACCGCGAATCGTTTTGCGTCAGCAACACGTTTCGCGGCAGGATATTTCGAGATCTGGCTGAAATTCATTACCGTGTCGTAGATTTATCGTTGTAGCGCATTCGTTGACCCGATTCGATGTTATTTTTACTCGAGTTCACCCCCGAGGACTCGGACGTTATAACGACGATCGTTAATTGGAAAGACGGAACAGAGGAAAAGCGAACACGTAACGCGATGGGAACAACATCGGATCGACGATATCTCCGTACGAATGGCTCGTGACCGCGCCACGTAACGCGATTACGTTGCACTCTGGTCTAACGAAGTAGAGAGAACAGCTCCTCTGTTCGAGATTTAGCCTTCATCGCGGATACGCGCGTCAATAACCGTGTACACGTGCTTAAAATTCCTCGCGCGCGATTCACGCCGATTCAAAGGTGCGCGCGTCGATTCGTTAAAAGATCCCTGATTTATACTTCGCGTCCATTCGCAACGGCCAACAGATATACCGTAGGCACACGCACACGCGCGTGCGATGAATTAAGTTCTTACGAGTCGGCGGCTGCGTAGCGTTTCATTCGCGCTTGACAGGTGTTGGATGTAACGCGCATGGCTCTTCCTTTTTCAGTACGAGCCGGTGATACCACCCGGAAGTTACGATTACCTGCATCACATGACTTTGTACGAGTGTCGCGCGGACGAGGCGCAATTGGAATCCGCAGCGAAGACGCCCGGCAGTGTTTGCTATCAGCCCAATCAGCCGTCTCCTCTGTGTAACACAATCGCGGCTATCTGGAGTCTGGGCTCCGAGGTATGCTACGTGACACATTTAAATGTAAATGAAGAATTAAATAAACTTGCCGGCCGACCGGACGTCGGCCCGTAATAAATTCCCGCCCAAGTAGAGCGAAAAATTGGATTCCCTTCGGTGTTCGTGGCGGATCTTAAGCGGAATTAATTTCGATTTATCGAATCGATTCGATACACGCGGGGTACCGCGAATGTTAATTCTTCCTGTCGGCCGATCGTTCTCGGCCCGATTCTCTCGCGTGTCAGTTTTAATTGCGTTTGTCGTCCAACGGCGGACGAGGCTTTCGTTTCTTTTCTTTTTGAATTATTCCACATGGACGGGAGTGCTTTCACGTGTACAAGCAATTAAATCGTGACGCGGTGTCGCGTATGAGATTACCGGTTGTCCCGCGATCAGTCGCATCTTCGCTGGCTATTCGTGTTACCAGCCACCACGAAGAACGAGTTTGCGATCCTCTCTCGCGCTTCCCATTGGTATGCATTACGCAGAAGCCAGAATTACCGCGATACTCCATGCGTTCCCCGTCCTGTCTCTTACGGTCCACCCACGATGACGTCAGGTTAACATTCGCGGACAGTGATTTACCCTGGTGTAATTACCCTCGTGACTGATTCAAATCTCGATTATATCTCAAACATGATTTATCCGCGTAATTGCGCTACCCCGGCGTTCTACTTCGTTTCAACCCATCGCGCTGTATACTCGCGACGCGTCGCGTCCTCGTCGTAGGGGGAACGGGGGACTTGCTCGAGAAAATTGTTCCAAACAACCCGACCGATCGAGATGCCCCCGTCCGAGCCACCCCCGCTTTGAAGGATCATCCCTTCCACGAACTATCGATCGTAAATCACGATAACAAAAGCAGCGCGAAGAGGAGAGCCATTTATACCTGACACAACCCGGCATGCATCGAGCACGGTCCATAAATCCGACGCTCCCGATTCTCGAATCGTCAGACACGTTCCGAGCCGCCGCATAATCGAACGTTCGCCACGGTTTTTCTCGCAGGGCTTCAATTACCCGCCGGAGGCCGGTTACGCGCTCGATCCGCACGCTGGGCCACGCTACTACATGCTGGAAACGCACTACACGAACCCGCAGAAGGATGCGTTCATCACCGACAGCTCTGGCCTGCGTTTGTATTACACGGACCGGCTGCGCACCCACGACGCCGGCATCCTGAGCATCGGCATCGACCCGAACTGGAGGCACATCATACCACCCGGCCAGCCCGAGGTGGTCTCCGAAGGTCATTGCATCTCGGACTGTACCGGGCACACCATTCCCAACAGCGGCATCAACGTATTCGCCGTCATCATGCATACTCATCAACTGGGCAGGAAGGTCCGATTGCGTCAGATAAGGTCTGGCGAGGAGCTGCCACCCATTGCGTCTGACACCAATTACGATCCTAGCTATCAGGAGTATCGGAAGCTGCAGAAGCCCGTCAGGGTCTATCCGGTGAGCGTTTCTTCGCCCCTCTCTCTGTCTCGTGTTCCGTGACCACCGGTCGCGTTTCTCGAATTTCCCATTCAAATGTAGCGATCGACGCGACCAGCCCACTCTTTTCGCCTATGCAATCTCTACAGAGAGGTCACAGGGTGGAAAGATGGATCGCGACGTCGTCGCGTGCTCTCGGCGTGGTCGAAGGAGACTAATCGTAGACGTACGCGGCTGTTTTCGTTCCACAGGGCGATCATTTGGTGGCCGAATGCACGTACTCGTCGAAATCCAGGCAAGCAATCACGCTCGGTGGTCCGACAACGAAGGAGGAAACTTGCTTGGTGTCCGCCCTTTATTATCCGCGCATCGAGCTGTCGCTCTGCTACTCGCTGCCTTCGTTACCAACGGTTCTGCAGAGTTTGGGGATCCAAAAGCTGATGCAGTGAGTATTTGTCGTAACGTTTTGCGCCGGTGTTTAAATATCGACAACGCTTTCGACGACGGGACCGCGCGCTCGATCGTCCTGCTCTCTTTCGCGTCCAGTTCTCGCCCTGTTCTCTCCCCGGGTCGCGCCCGGCCGCGAGACAAACGAGACACAGCGGCCCTGTCGATTCGAATTTCGCGAAATAATCACAGGCTACGTTCCGTCGGTCATTTTACTTTTTCCAGCCGCGAGTTCAAAGACCGTTTGATATTAATTTACACGGCACGGTTGATACCACGTTAATGATCACGACGCTGGCCTCTACACACAAAGCGATGACCAGACGTTCGCTCCTTTTACTCTGATTACTTTAAATTGGCAATTAGGGACGACGATGGCCCGTGCGTCACGACCGCACGACCTGTCGTTAGTTCAACGAGCGCCGGTTATATTGCGCCAGACGCATCGTTTATTGCATTACGTAATGTTACGTGTGTCACGAAGACGCTTCCTGCGACGTGTCACGAACCTTAATGTAACAAGCGTCCTGTTTCGCTAAACACACTCCGGCTACATCGAATACCGTAGTTAAATTACTGTTATTACTACCACTAATATCGGCAGCTCGTTGCTAGTCCGGTCGTTAACTCCGACAGAGATCATTGTCATCTTTGCGTGACGTCGCGGCCAAATGGCTGCACCGTCCAGACGGGGGGCAAACCACGTCTACGGTGTATTTTAAAACCGTGCACCTGTTACTAACAACTCGATCGTTAACCGAACCATCAAACTAATTACTCCAACTACCCAAACGACCTCATGGTTATCATCTCCCAGGGGGGGAGTTCTATTCCTCCTCCCCTCTTTCCGACTCACCCTGTCTTTCTCTCTTTCGAGCCAAAATCCAGTTTATCAGGCCGTTGGCCAAAATTTTTCGGCCAAGAAGGAAGCGCACACGTACGCGCGTATTCCCGTTCCTCCCCTGGGCCGTACACAAAAGCTCGCAACGAGCTTTGTTCTCGCAAACGAGCGCGCATTCGCGATGCGGGTCACGGGAGCAGAGCCGTTCTCCGGACTCTTGAAACTTCACCGTTACCGTCTGCGCGTTACGAATATATAGGTCGTGGAACCGGGAGTCCAGCCGAGGACGAACCTTCACGTATTGTCCTTCTCGTTACAGGGGTCACAGTCCGGTAAAGATTCAAGAACCGCCAGAGCTGTCCGGCATGACGTTGGAGGATCGTTTGCTCAGCTACGACTGGAAGACCGGTTTTCAAAGCTTCCAAGAAGTTACACGAGGAGGCACTTTCAAACCGCTCTGCTGGACCATCGACGGGGCTCTACCGGACACCGACAACCTGGAAGTTCACTATCCAAGGATTCTGAGGCCTTACGAGGAGGTCGTGCTTCCTTGCACGAAGAAACCTCTCAGGAACAAGTTGTCTAAGCTGTTGAGCGAGGACGAAGACATCGGTGCCCACGTGGATCCTGACAGCGACGAGACGAACGCCGTCGAACGTGGGCAACTGGTGCGCAGCAAAGTGTCCCGTAGCAGCGACGGTCCAACCGGCGGAAGTTCCTCGACCAGATCGGTACCGATCATCCTGATACCGAGCATCCTCCTGGCGCTCGTCGCCGGCGCGTTCAGGTGAACAACACTGGCTGGTTGTCTGCACGCCGATCAGCCGACCGATCGATTTCGTTTATCTAGGACGGCCGTTTTATCTTCTCGTTGATCGCGCTGGATCGGGGAGGATATGCATATGTAAGTACGTACCGGTGTGTACCCTGTGACGCGTCACTTAGACTAAACTATCGTCGTTCTTTGGTCGTTGAGCGAGGACGCGGCAAACGCCTAGGGTTTCCTTTCGCGTTCGTTTCCACGTCTAACCGGTCTGTCCCAGTTGGCCGCGCGATCGTCGGGCGCAATTTTTCATACGATGGCGATTCGTTCTACGTCGAGAGCCGATCGATGGAACGACGCGGGAAAGAGAAATATTTTTGATGGCTTCGAGTCGTGGTCGTGTGGAACGAATAATGGAAAGTCGTCGGGACGAGGTGTACTCTACGGTCTATAGAAGATTGCCAAATATATTTTCCCTTAACGAACGTCCATCGAAGAGAGCGGGATCTACGCTGTTCTCGTTCAACGATCGACCTCCCTTTTCGCGATCTCTGCTCCTGCACTATATCGTTATGTGACGTGTGTCGCGTGCTCGCGCGCAGGACCTTCGTTGGATATCTTTCGGCCTCGGACGCTCCTCGTTGCGCCATTTCCGCTGCGATCTAATTTCTCTAGCGAATATTAACGCCCCAACGACGCTGTGTGGAATGGTAAATGTTATAAATATCCGCTGTACCTACGGGAAAGGATTTATCGACCCGTAACGACGCCTGGATAAAAGCACGCTTTCAGGTTCTTTCGCGAATAATCGATTCACTATTTAATTCGATTTCGTTCGGTTAGTCGCGTAGTATTTCGCTCGAACCGAACAGCGGCGTGGCGCCAATACGTTGGCCGATGCGATCAAAGTGGGTCAGTCGAAATCCTCGCAAAGAATCGCATTTCCGTCGTAACGCTAACGCGTTCCCGTTCGGCGTCAGAACGCACGCGGATTTCGCCTTTCACGCGAACCCGCGAAACGAGCAACGCGACGACACGCGAATTCGTGAATCGAAATCGCCGAGGACAACAAAGTCACTCGTGTCGCTCCTCTCTGTCCTTGCTATCCTTTGCGTCTGTCTATTATATTCGACCCGACGCGACGTGCGTTGTATCGCGTGTGAAGCGTAACGCGAAGAACTCGGAGACGACGTACGCCAGCTCGTACGTAAATACTCTGGCAAATACGTAGATACCCTCGCTTGACCAGCGCTCGTGCGTTCGCGCGACCCGAAGGAGGAACAACGATAACACGACACACAGGTTTTCTAGTCCGTTTGTTTCGACCCGGGCTCGTGGTTTCTGGAGAAAAGAGCCAATCGCTGTTGCGAGTCGCGAATCTTCGGTGCTAGACCGCCGCCCCTCTATGGCGGTTAACGATCTCGAACGAAAGATATCCAAGAGGAAGTCGTGCTCCTGCCGATGCCGAGCGGTATTATTTTAAAGCTTCTGGACTCGAAAGAATTTATATTGTTGGCTGTTTATTTACCAGACCGGGAACCAAGCGAATCGAGTGGTTTTCCAGAGGACTGGCTTACGGATCGTATCTTCCTAGGTGTTTCGTAGTGGACGACGTCGGAGGTCGCTTGGTTCCCGCCCGGGATTTGTATATTCTGTTACTATTAGATTTATACGAATAGATACGTTTTTTAACCGGAGAGCGTGCAAACGTTGGTCGATCGACACTCGAGCATCTCGATGCATCCTGGCCCAACGAAACTCGCGAATCGACCGGTCTGGATCGAGCGCAGCTTGACCAACGCTTGCCACACGTTTCCTTTGTAATATTGTGTACAGTTTCTTAAGTGTAACTCTCGTTGTTCGGCTGGCCGTTCGCGCGCCGGTGATTATTTATTGTTTATTTAAGTGTATAGAGGACGCGTTCGGTCCGTTTTCGGGCCGCGTTTCGGCCACTCGCGATTTCGTATTCCGCGAGCCACACGTTCGCGAAGCGCGACGGTCGGGAAGCGTACGTCGAGTTTCTCGATGCGTTCTCCGTCGCCCGCTGGGGGACACTTGTCGCTACCGAATGGCACACGCGCGGTGCCGCATCGATCACACACGACCGTGATCGATCCCGCGAAACGGAAGACACGTGCTTCCGTTCGTTCGCGCGACGCTTTAAAGCGGTGCTTTGACCCTTTGGATGGTAATCGACGATGATCGATCGTTTCGTTCGGCACTTGTGATTAATTGATAGCTTTCGTAGCCTGGAAATGTAACGCAAACGCGCGTGTGATCGTTGCCGGGTAACTCTGTCGAAGATTTTGCGTTTCATCGTCGGACGCTGTATAACACTGGAGACAATAAAAGAGACGAAGAAATTCGAAAGGTCGGTTTGCACGGATAAACGGTTGAGTCGCGATGAGATCGAAATTGGAGAACGCAGAAGGGGGAAGAATTATAAAACATTGGCACGCGTGTCGATTTTCTCTTCTTATCGGGCAACTTCCGCTTCGAAACGTTGGCAGTCGTTACCGGGAATGTTGGAGAACACGGCCTCCTCCCGTGGGAAAGCGATCGCATTTTTCTCCTTTCGCGAACTTTTAATTAAATCGAATCGGAATGGAGGTTGCGTAGCTGGTTTAATTCGATCCAATTCTTGACCTGTCACAATGTACCCTCATTTGACACTCGTTCAGTCGATTAAGTCTTCGAAGCACCACTTTAATTATCGAGGAGGAAAGAGGGGAGAAGGGAAAAAGGAAGGAACGACACGTGTGGTTGACGCGCAAGGAGATCGATAGCGTTGTAGTCAAGAGTCCCTTAACGCGCGCGCTTTTCCTACGTTTCCCGTTTGCATTCGAGGAGAACGCAATTTTCGCCGGCAAAGACACGAGAATCTCTTTTCGCGTGTGCCTGTTGCTTTTCATTCTCACCCCCTGTATCTCGGTCGTCCATCGAATCCAGACCGATCCTTTCGATCCCTCGTTCGATCCCTCGTTCGATCCCTCGTTCGTCCTGTCGATGCTCTTTTAATACCGACCCCCCTCCCGCGAATCACAACGACCGGTTGTCGATGACAAAATTCTCTCCCTCTCTCTCTCTCTCTCTTTCTCTCTCTCTCTCTCTCCTTCCCTAGCGTAGAAATGGAAAATAAATAAAAAAAAAAACCTCACTAAGTAGTCGGACTAATCGGTAAAAGTAATAAGCGCGTAGCCATGTTTTACAATTTAATACTACGATAATTCGTAAATGTCATAGGGGATCTGTGTGTGTAGAGATCGTAGGGCAGTCGAGCGATTACCTTTACCCTCGAGGGGGAAAAGACGAAAAACGAAAAAGAAAAAAGAAAAAAAAAAGCAGAAAAAAAATGACACGTTACTTTTAGGCGCTGAAGATCCGTTCCTTTCCGATCATCAATCGTATACTTGTCGAGTCCGTGATACTGCCGTGAATACTGTCAATCGTCGCTTCGCTAATGTCAGCGTTCCAATTCGAAGTTCAAACTCCGTTCCTTACGTTTCCTTCTCCAACTTTCGTTTCTAAACGCTTAACACGAAACCATCGAGTCAGCACGAACATTTACGCATTCGATTATCCATACGACACGCAGACCTACAGTGGACAAGGAAGACGGGAAATCGTCCGCGTTCGTGGATGACGCGGACCGCGTGGCGCGATCGACGATCGAGAAAGAGAGAAGCACGACGAAAACACGTACGTGTACACAGAGATGGAAGAATCCGATGAATCGATGCGACGAATCGTTGCTTTCCTTCCCTCGAATATGCCACGCTGCGTGTACGTTGACGTACGATCCGCTACGGGGATAAGCGATGATTTATCATCGCAGAAGGAACTCGTTACGATCGGCCGTGCGAGAGACGAGGAGACGAGGAAGTCGTCCCTCGTCTGTCGACGCGCTGATGTCAGTGAGAACGGCGGCCGTTCGCTGACGTTGCCGTCACGGCGTCGCCGTCGCCATGGGTTTGGGGCTGGGTGTGCGGGTGGGGCTGATAGGAACTGCCGGTGATATGACCAGAACAATCAAGCAAAGTGTCACGAGTAAATGTCATTTATGCTGGAATAATTATGTTAGATAAATAGGGAACGATATTACGCATTTATACTCAATGATCTTGCATCGTGTGTACGTTAGCTGGTTCGTTATCTCGCCGAGGCACCTGGCGTCCATCGAGTTTCCCACCGGTCCTCCAACGACTAAGATTCCACGCATGGTTACGCATTCGATTCGCCAACACTATATCGTTCCGTTGTAGCTTTTCCTCGCGACGAATCGTTCCGATAGCCTTGCACCCGATGAAACTTTACGAGTACGTAGGTGGCAACGTGCAGTACCTGAATGGAAAATAGCGTCGCGCTATAGGATACCATTAAGAAGAAACAAAGAGAAGAAATATTCCGAGAGATCGAAACTTTCCAGGGAACTTTCGAGTTTCCAGTTGTACGAAGACGATCGAAACTGTTTAGGGAAGGTTTAGACGTCCGGTGGGAAACTCGGTGGAAAACTCGGGAAATCGGGAATGTATGTACTGTACGTAGAAGAAGATTAGAGAAGGTCGACGACGATGTCCGTGGCCCAGTAGCTAGAGATTGGGACACGGTGATCGCGCGACCACGCAAGCGAGTGGACGGGAGAAAACAGATGGAATCGAGCGAATAGCGTATGCGTGTACATAGGTACCCTGTATATAGTTTTTAGATTTAAATTACGTCCCGGACTCTTCAATGGGCACCTACACATTCGAACTTCGGATAGCTAGCTAAATAGTATCTCGTATCTTTATGATTTACGTGTAACATGTTGAACCTGTACACCCCGCGGTGTGCGGGCGCGCGCGTACACGCGCGATAACGCTCGCGCGCGCACGGATCGTACGCGTTACCGGGCGTCCCTGTCCTTCCATACCGCTCTTAGATTTATACCTAATTTACACTGGATATTAACGTCTAAACGCTACACTATCATCTACACTGTAACAAATTGTATTATATTTTATATATATAAATATGTAAATGTTTTTC